CTCCACATCACCCGGTCATTCACGTGTCAGACCCTTTCGGTGCCTAGCTGGCATGCCACCCGAAGGAAACACTATGGCTGGGATACTGGCAGGTTTCCCAGGCCTAGACAAGGGAAGCCGAGAGGTGGAGGTCGGGTTCGAACCACGAAAGTTCCGGTCAGTAAATTTGCGCTTTACCCACTTGAGCTATCTCGCCGCCACCACTGTCTCGCCACACCACCCGTGAACACCGTCAAATTCAAAGCTATCGTCATTGCTTTTTGAACATCAGGCGAGATTGTCCATTACTTCAGAAAAAACCGAGACTGACAGAGAATCAGTTGTAAACGACTGCTAACAGACATGACCAACGATGCTAGTCAGCGAATCAACAGCGCATCTTTCCCGCCACAACTGCCGACTAAGTGTACATTTAGTCCAATGGTAATCAGCACACAAGTTTCGGTTGAACTCTGCTGTTTGACTTCTAGCTTCGACTTACTAGACAAACGCCGTGTGATTATGGAGCCGGATAGTTCTCAACCCTTAATGGGAAAATGCACAAGAAACAGCACCACAATTATGGTCCTACTCTGCCTAATCCGTACTGAGATGATCTGATGTGATATCTTCTAAATGAATTGACTAGGCATTATGTTGATCCGGTAACTACGCCCAACAGGCCAACTGACTGTCGAGTTCGGCGATGGCGTTAACCTAGAATCAGTTTTGCTTGAGTTTGCGTGATGATTTCTGCCATCTAACTACTTCTGCGACGTGTATTCAATCATCCTCATCGAAAAGGCGAAGACGAGAATCCAGCCTGTCGTTCCCACATGATCACACATTCAACAGCACTACTGGACCAAACGAACTTCAAAGCCAGGCAATACTATGCGAACAGGTGAAAAAAATAAAGTCATCTTCATTCGCAAAAAAGATTGCAGATCTAGGGAGGCTTATGAGCGAAAATCGAGTGCGACTCGAGGCAGAAAAACTATTTTGGGTCGTGCTTTCTGAAGGCGTGAAAATGTCACGAATTCAGGCTCCTCGAAAGTTCCGTAACACGCACAAGGAACTACAAATTTGCACCAGGTTACCGTGAATATATATATATACCAACCATGAGTAGCGTAAACCTGGGCCTTCAAGGTTGGTGAAAAGCTATCACACGCTGGTCTGCCATTGGAACAAAGGACTATGACACAAAAGGTAACGAAAAGCTCACCAGGAAAAAACTTTAGTTTTATCAACGTTCGAACTAACCTTTATGTTCTTGTCTTTTGTACAGATACTGACGGCACCAATGCGACCCCAGTCACCGAGCAGGGCTCTACCGAGACTATGTTCTTTTTCAAACGTCGGCAGTCTGGAATGGTGATTGCAGCGATGGGTATGAATGTTCCACCACTCGGGGAAGTATGTGGCCGGGAGGATGGAGTTAAGATTCTTGTCAGACATGCAGACTCGTTAGGGTGGCTGGTAGAGCTGAAATGCATCAGAATTGGTTAGGATCCAGTTATCAGACTTTTGCTGTGGTTAATTCCTTCCGTTTTTGTAAGGTGTCCCTTTATTGCCCGCTGCAAAGGCTGGACCTTATCGGTGGTGGCGATTTATGTACCCCTATGACACAATGAAGAGATTCAATTGGGCACCTGCAGAGTTTCCTATACTAGGTCGACCAGTGGATAGAGGCCTGACGAACATAGTCATAGGCGTGGTGACTTTCTCCTTAAAAATTGCCGAAGCCTAGTCAGTCGATATTAGTCATTTAGTTGTGACATCCTTTCGGTGCCTAGCTGCCATTCCAACCGGAGGATGCACGAGAGCTGGAATAATACCAGGTTGCTTAAGCATGGACCACAGTAATCAAGAAGCTGGGGTAATGTTCGAACCCCGGAGCATTCCAGTTATTAAGTTCGCGCCTTAACCACTGGGCTAATTCGAGTTAGAAGCGAAGGCTGTCACTAGAATTGCAAGCATTCAATTAGTGTCAGTTCACGATGCTCGAGCGCTAAGGTCCGTCCTAGAATCGATGCACACTTCCCGGAGCCTCCAGTTATTAAGTTCGCGTCTTAACCACTGGGCTAATTCGAGTTAGAAGCGAAGGCTGTCACTAGAATTGCAAGCATTCCAGTAAGTTCGCGCCTTAACCACTGGGCTAATTCGAGTTAGAAGCGAAGGCTGTCACTAGAATTACAAGCATTCAATTAGTGTGTGTCCACGATGCTCGAGCGCTAAGGTCCGTCCTAGAATCGATGCACACCCGCGGCCACACCCGTACTGTCCTCTGCGACAGGAGTGTGAAGGCAGTAAGGTGTTTCCCCCAGGCGACCGGCATGTCTCTATTTATGGAAGCAGTGATGCTGCCTTCCCCCGAGGAAGGACGGATTAGAAAAGGTCGGTCCCAAAAACCTCACACTCCGATCGCCCTACGGTCGACCGTGACCAGTGGCGCGTTATTCAGTACGGTTGAAGTACCCTTGAAACCAAAGAGTCCGGTGCTGCTCAAATGGCACCTGCTATGCGCATCCGCGTCAGGTGTGTGTGGAGAGCCACAATTCAAGACTGTCGTTCCTTCTGGGGCACACCACTTGATTCTGACCACATCATGGTGCGCGCACGTCTGCTTCCCTTCAGGCCCCCGCAAGTCAGCAAGAAGGCGCCAGTCCACTATCTTCGAAGAACTACCATAGCCCAACAGTATCTGAGCTAGCCGAACAACTCCTCACGCTAAACGGATACTGTGGTGGTAACGAGCATGTGGATGAAGCACGGCGAATTTTGAAAGGAGCTACACTAGCGGCGTTCACTACTTTCTTATCGACTTCTCCGACTCGACCGCAAGATAGTCCTGATCGATGCCAGGAAATGCATACCAGGAAATAACATGTACGACGGCGCAAACCCTCCAAACGCCAAATAGTGAAGAGTCTAAGGAAGGACCGAAAGCTCTGGTGGACATTGAAAGCTCGGGAGACAGAGAAGGGTTTTGTTACGGGAAACAGCCGTGCCCTATATCAACTGACACGATCGACTGGCCTCGGGAAAGTAACACATAGTGAAACGGTAAGTGAAAAATGTCGATTGGAAAGATCTGCCGAACACTTCGAAGAACAGTTTAGCTGGCCTTCTGCAACCCAGCTAGTAATGATTGTGCATACGGCTAGATGAAATGTGAACCTTGATCGTCCGTCGGAAGAAGAAATAAAGTATGAAATATCCATACTGAAATCACAAGTACTGGACGGTCTGTATCCAGCCCTTTTCAAAGAAGGAAAATCCCTGGTGACCCATCTGACAAGACTAATTGGTGCTATATGGAGTGAAGAGAAAGTGCCTGCAGAATGAGGCATGACGACAGTTACCCTATCTTCAAAAAAGGTACGCGGACACTGTGTGAAAACCACCGTGGCATCAGCCGGGCAGTTGTGGCATCGAAAGTCCCCTCTGGTTTTATCTTTTGACGGTTGATTGAACACAGGGAGGGGTAGATCCGTGAAAACCAAGCGGGGTTCCGTCCTGAAGGAGATCGACCACCCTTCGACAGATTCTGGAACAGCGACACTGCTTCCAGCAACCACCGATGGTTGCGTTCTTTGATCTGCAAGCTGCCTTTGAATCTTCGAACTGCCAAGCACCATGTCAGTGAGTGTGGAGCAAAGGTGTCCCTCATAAATTCTTCACCCTCCTTAAGGCGCTGTACACAGACTTCCACGGCCGTGTAAAGGTCCACAGGAAGCTCGTCAGAGTTCACCACACCAAGCAGTGTCAGGCAGG